CAATGATTCCTCTTAACCAAAATTATAACAAGGATGTAAAATACAACACCCCTAGTCAATTGATATGCATCCACTTGAGTGTTCACCCTTGTTTCAAAAATCATAAATATAATATTTACCTATTTAAAGTTCTTGAAATTATAAGATTTTTTTTTTATACTTGTCAATTAAATGTCATTTAATAGTAATTTATTTTCCACACGTTAACAAAATAATATTAAAAAATTTGTGAATAGCTAATTATTTATCAGTTCAACTGGACCTAGCTATGTATATTTAGATGGACAGTTCGTATTGTTGTAAGTTGTATATTTTGTAACTTTGTATAAACAAACCAAAATTAAACCCCGATTTTAGGGGGTTTCAACACTGGTTGCACAGAGCTTAAGGTAATGGTACATGCATGTATTAGAACTTAGAAACTGAAGCACGGATTTAAATGGAAGGCCCTGTGATTCAACAGTGAATTTGACTGAAAGCAGTATCTCCCCAATGTGTGTAAACATATTTTCAAATTAAACACCATCATGGTTGAGGAGTGACCATCTTGTGTGGAAGCATAGAACGATATTATTCCAACATGGGGAGTCCCACACAACAGGTATAGCATCATATTGAGGAACTAATGCACCCTAGTTTTGGGGCAGAAAAAAGCAAGGAATGCTGGCTGCTACGGATTCACTATTTAGTTATATATAGTTTGTGTGTCAGCTAGGTTTCACTTCCACCATACACATTAGCATCAAGCGTGACATTAGCTTATATATAGCTAGCAATAGCATATAGGCTTTTGTGCCAATATTGCATATGGGTAAGGGTATGGTAATGGTAATGGTATTGGTAGCTAGCGTGGTCCTTGCACTGCATGACCATGGCAATTAATGTCATTGCACATTACTGGGGTGGCAGTACTATCAATATTGGCTTTATGTGCTAGCTAAGCAAGGTGGGAGGACCATATGTACAGTAAAAAAACGTACATCATAATTCATGCCTCAATTAAGTTATATAAAAAATACTCAAACTTAGATATAAGGTTATTAACTCAAGTGTCTCGGCACTTATACTTTTTGACTAAGAATTATGTTTGATTTTTGTTTGGATATGAAATTGTAACTGAAGATATCACTTTATCTTCAAGAACCATTAACCATGGATTGAGTTCGACTTGAGTATAAAATTGTAACTAATAATATTACTTTATTTCTAAGGACTGATCCAATAAAAAGAAAGGTATACCTCCTTACAATGGCAAATCCAAAATCTTAAGTTAGTGGGGACAAATATTTAAATAAAAAATAATATTAATCATCATATATACAAAAGAAGAAAACAAAATGTCAAAAATAATCATTTATGAATTCAATACATAAAATTAAGAAATACATATTATATTATTTTAAATATATACTAGGAATTTAATTAAAGTGAGAAGGTGTATTTGCTCACCATTATTATTAATGTAGGTCTATCATTGCCTTCTAATCATTAAAAAAAAAAAAAAGAAAAAAAAAAGTCCAACTTATTGTGCTGTTTGCCCTCCTTTTTTTGTTTGGGTGAATAATGTTAAAGAAATAATAGACTTCAGAAAGAGGTGAAATCAACCTTATTGTTACTTAGATTCTTTTGAATATTTCTCTCACAAGCTTGCAACATACAGCTAAAAAAAAACATGCACAAGATTTACCTGCTAAGAGAGTTGAGACGTAAGAATAGGTTCAGAATATTCAACGTATAGGAAGTGGAAAATGGGACAAGAAAAATACGATCGATAAACCGACTAAAATTAACAGATCCGTGATGAATACTTTTGATATTTTGAATAATCAGTGGAGTTTAGGTAATTTGTGTTTCTATAAATTTTATTTAAATAAATATTTTTTTAAAATAAAAATAATGACATCTTTTTATAGAAGTGGTGGTGTGCAATTATTAAAAAAAAAATTCATGTAATTACTCAAAAAAATGTCAATTAAAATGTATAATAACAAATTTAACCATACCTCTTAAAGAATATTTAAGAGTAAAGAAGTAAAAAAAAAAAAAAAAAAAAAAAAAAATTTTATTTAAATAAATATTTTTTTAAAATAAAAATAATGACATCTTTTTATAGAAGTGGTGGTGTGCAATTATTAAAAAAAAAATTCATGTAATTACTCAAAAAAATGTCAATTAAAATGTATAATAACAAATTTAACCATACCTCTTAAAGAATATTTAAGAGTAAAGAAGTAAAAAAAAAAAAAAAAAAAAAAAAAAAACAAAAAAAAAAAAACCAAATCAAGATATCTCCTTTATTAATGTTGTAGATTAAAAATTGAAATTAAGAGTGAAATTTATGAAATAAGAAATAAAATAATGTATTTTTAAAATTTTAAAATAATAATAAAATATGTTTAAAAAGTACATTAAAAATGCCTGGTATTTCTCTAAAAAATTGTGATACTAAATCATTTGTAGCTAGGTTAGTAATACAAGTCAATGAATAATGTGTTTTGGGCTTGGAGTTCGACTGGCCCAGGTTATAATGTAAAAGACTAAAACCTTGCACGGAAAGCTTGAGCCCACGTTTATTAAGGACACGACCCAACAAAAGCCTACTGAATTCCCTGAAGCGCGTCACATCACCCTCGACCCAAAAGTTAAAAATCACGTCTCATCATCACAGTAGCTCCAGAGGCAATAAAGAATTACAATTATAAACTTTCATCATATACTGAACTAAAAAAAATATTAACCTACCATTTCACGATCTTATTATCTTAAGGGGTGTATTGGATTAGGATTTTAAAGGATTTTTTTAGTTGAAAAAAGTCCAGTAAATTTTAAAAGACTTTGCAAGATTTTTATGACTTTTAAGATTTTGTAGGATTTCACAAGACTTTCAATCAAGATTTTAATGGATTATGCAAGACTCTTAAGTTAAGATTTTAATGGATTCTGCGAGACTTTGTGAACTTTGCAAAATTTCATAATAATAGAAATTCATCATAATGACATTCTTTACGAAGAAAGTTACGTAGTCTCACACATACTAAAAATTATTCTAAATAATATTTCAAATTTTTTTTAATTTGTGGTTTAAAATATTTTATTTATAATTTTATAAATGATTAAAATATGTCCCTTCATTTTATATCGGTACTAAAGTAGATATTTACAAACATCAATTGGGAGAAAAAAATATCTGAAATTTGTTACAGGTACAAAATATTTTTTTAAATTTTTAATTGCTTTCAATTATTCACTCGTGAAGAAATATTTTTAGTATTGAATTCTAAGATACTGCAATCTCTTATGTTAATTTTCTTTTCTAAAATACAAGAATCTTAATTTCATAATATAAAAATTAAAAAAATAAAATTCATAGTAAAAAAAGAAATAAAATAATTGTTGAGTCATAAAAGGGGAATAATAATAATAACAAATTTAAGAGAGGGAGAGATCACAGTTTTTATATTGAGAGGGTTCTTCTCCCAACTAATATCTATTCCTATTTCATTCTATTTACAGAAACCCTAACTCAAATTCATCTTTTACATATATATATATATATATATATATATATATATATATATATCAATTTTAGTTTTTACCTTTCCCTTTTCTTGACGCGTATTATAAAAAAAATTACTACTTGAAAGTTAAAATTCAAGTGTTTTCTGTGTTATATAACTGAGGAACAATCTCAATTAAATAGACCAAAATCGAGCAAGTCAATTAAAGAGAACGGAGAGAAAAATAAAGCAAGTTAATGACACTATCATTTACGTATAGAAATTTTACCAAATAGGAGAATGGAATGAGAACAGTAATACAGTGTTATATATAAGTAGTAGTGTAGTATTATTAACAAGAGAAAAAAAATGGAGAAAACATGAGCATAGAAAAAAAATAGATGAAAAATCCACTTGGAAATTTCTTGAAGCACTTGAAAAGTCACTTCAAACAATCCTCCAAAATCTTATGGGTTTGGATGAGATTGTTTTATGAATTTGATATTTATAGATACCACTAAAAAGTTCATCAAAATTCTTCTAATACAACAATCCTTTAAAATCCCTATATTTTTTAATACCATTGGATTGTTTTTAAGTTGTAAAAAGTCTCAAATGAATACCAATAGATTTTAATGGACTCTTTAAAAAATCTTAAAAATCTTGATTGAATACTAGTGGATTATTTTTAAGTAACATAAAGTCTTGATTGAATAGACTCTTTAAAAAATCTTAAAAATCTTGATTGAATACTAGTGAATTATTTTTAAGTAACATAAAGTCTTGATTGAATACCAACGAACTTTTTTACTCAAAAATTTTTTTTTTAAAATCCTATGAAATCCTAAACCAATACATCCCCTCCCCTCTGTTAAATTAATTATGTTTCCCACGTCTTAAAACTGAGAAGCCCATAAATAGTTGCATTTGACCAACAAAATAAAATCTTCCTCTTCCAGTTTATACATCCTTATTTTTAGGAAAAGTAACGGTATCAGAAAACGCCAAATCCTAATTTCCCACGCAGATGCACCGACACAATAAAAACATAGGATAACATAAGATGAGGCAAGTGCCACTTTGCAGAGTCACACTGGTTTCTGTTAGTAGATCCGGGGATGCCAGTTCTTCATGCAATCATTAAAATAACATTATTATTATTATAAGATTTTGTAAAATTTTCACTTCATTTCTATAATCGTACATTTTGCTATGTAACTTTTAGAATTTCATATTCTATCATCAAATTAATATCATTAGTTACCTGATGATATAATTTATTAACCAGTGACACAATATATTTACCGCTAATAGGATACAGAAACTATTTGAATATAATTTAAAAATATTTTTGCTAAAAAATAAAATACATTTTTTGATAAAAAAAATTCTTAAAAATCTTTCTAAACATATACTTAAACATTCGTGAATATTCTGAAATGAGAACAGTAAAAGAAGGTCAAGGTAGGTGATAAGAAGTATGAAATGATAAAAGATGTAATTAAGGGTGATTATTATTAGATAGATTAATGTTAAAGAGAAAAAAATGGTAATACTAATTATATTGTCTGTAACTGAAATGTGTATAAGACAAAATTAAGAGGAAACTAAAAAAGAGAAGAATTGAGCGGTGGAGAGGAGAAAGTTTAGAGCGGTGGAGATTTGAGAAGAAAAAGAAGTAGGACGGAGGAAAGGGAGAAGAAAGAAAGAGTGAAAAAATTTGCATCCAAAGAACCAAACGGAATGGTGGCATTCTCCTTCTCCTTCTCCTTCTCCATCCTCTTCTCCCTCATCCTCATCACACAATCCTCTTCTTCTTCCTCCACCCACCTCTCCAACTTCCACCCCGACATCCAACTCTCCGGCGACGCCCACGTCGTCGCCGCAACCCACGTCAGACTCACGCGCGCAGCCCCTTCCTCCTCCGGCCTCCTCCGCGGCCTCCACCCTCTCGCATTCTCCTCGCCGGCCACCTCCCTCTCCACCGACTTCTCCTTCGCCGTCTCCCCCGTGCCCGGCGACGGCTTCCTCCTCATCCTGGCCCCCGCCGCCGCCGGCAACGTCTCGGACTTCGTGGCCGTGGAGTTCCACGCATCCAGCGACGAGAACAAGAGAAACCAGGTGGGCATCGACGTGGGAAGCCGCGTCTCGGTGGCCGGCGCGAACGTCCCAGACGTGAATCTGGTTCTGAACAGCGGCGAAAAGTTGAAGGCTTGGGTGGATTACGAGGGAAGTTCGAAGGCATTGGAAGTTAGGTTAAGCAAATTGGGGGAAGAGAAGCCTGGGAAGCCTATGGTGTCTCATTGGATCGATTTTTTTGAGATGTGGGGTGGGGATCCTGTGTTCGCCGGTATTAGTTCTTCCAATGGGCCCCATTCGGCCCAGGTTGTGACTGTTTACTCGTGGAGGCTTACTTTGAGGGATGCTTCCAAGGGGTTGCATTCTATGCCTGCTGATCCACGTCCGCCCTCTCAGGACGACCACCGTATGTTTTGTCCCTTGACGCTTCTCGCTGGCCTTATTTTCGGAACTGGCTGCGTTGCCTTGTTCACTTTTGTTGTGCTCTTCACTTGGGTCATCTTCTTACCTGGCCGTCAAGATCACTCTCTTGTCAAAATCCCTGACCACCCTCATGATATCAGGTACCAGAGAATTGATGTCGCTGTTGACAAGAATGCGCAACATGATGAAACCTAGAGATTAGATCACCACCATCATCTTCTTTTCTTCCTTTTAACGTGTATTTTTCACATTTCCAGGATGCTTATGTAGATTCATGCTGTACATTTATTTGTAATTAACTATGTATAAAATCTCCCACTTTCTTTTTTTTTCTTTCTATTGTATAAAATGCCTATGCTTTCACTTCCACCTATCTCTTCATGCTTTTTCTGCACTTCTTTCTTGACTGTTCGGTTTTAGCCAAATTTCTATAATACTGTTATGGACTGTTGTTGTTTAAGGGTAAGGGTGGTTTACATTACATATGCAGAGGTTTTGAGAAAGAGTGCAAGAGAGATTATTTTTTAAGGAAGCCTATATAGGCTAGATTTGTACTCGACGGCAAATTTGAAGAGGATGTGGTATGTAATTTAGTATTCGATGCCTTTGTATAACCTCTATTGTAAGATAATTATGTCTCATATAGGAAATATGTGATATATAAAGGGATTAATAGATAAATAATTAAATAATTAAAGACTAAATCATAAATTGGTTTAATGGAGCATTTATGAGAATAATTGTTATCTGATGGAAATAATAATTTTTAGGGGTTATAAATATCCACTTATGTTAGACAATGTCCACACCCCTGATAGAAAGTGTTCTCTCAAACCCTAGCCATCACGAAAGATAGAGAGAGTAGAAAGAAAAGTCAAAGGGAGTGAAATCTTGGTTCTCTTCTCAAGAAGATCAGAGCACTCTAAGGATCAAAAGAGTTTTCTACTATGGAGAAATGTACACACTTTCTTATTATTATGTGAGTATCATGAATTTCAAAGATCCTTTAATTTTCTATAATTGATGTATTAGAAAATCATAGAACTTACATGTGGTATCAGAGCATGGTTTTGAAATTGAATGATTCTCCGTGAATGATATGTGTTGTAAAATTGTATAATTCTCCATGAATGTTATATATATATACATATATAACGATTTTGCAATGATCCAGAAGACATTGTCAAATCAAGAAATTTCAAGCAATTTTTTCTCACCAGAAGTGAGATAATTGTACAATAATGAAAAGAATATTTTCTCACCAGAAGTGAGAAGAATATTTTCTCACCAGAAGTGAGATAATTGTGCAACAATGAAAATAAAAGGATATTTTCTCACCCGAAGTGAGATAATTGTACGACAATGAAAATAAAAAAATATTTTCTTCACCTGAAGTGGGAAAATATTATGAAAAGTGAAAAGAAAAAGGATAGATAAATAAACGAATATTATATAAGTGTTATGTTTGATCCTTTGAGTACCACCGGAAGTGGAATAATTCTATCAAGGTCATTGTTGCAATATTATGTTTAATTTTCCGCTGCATGTTGTTTGTTTTGGATCATGAATGTAATTCTTAATTTTGAAATATGATCAATATATTAAATTTTACATTATCGAAATCCTAGTGGTAATCGCGTAAGAATTATTTTCTTGAAAGTTTCCTTTTTTTTTCTAAAAATACTAAATTTGTATTTCTAATTGGAAAGAATTGATTTTTAAATCAAATCTTGGAATTAATTTTATGATGAATTTGTTAGTCACCAAAGTGGCCAGATTTTATATTTATTTTAATTCCAAATTAATGGTGATTTAATTCAATTACCCATAGAATAATGGATGCTAAATAAAATAATTGTTTGTTTATGGGTATATTGAAATTCATTATTATAAGACATTTATGTATCGCCCAAAGGTTGATTAGTTGTTCTCATAATCAATGAATATAATTGTGTGTGACTTATGTGTGCTATTAGATTATTTATATATCCAAAGGTATTAGATAATTCTAATTGGTGCATGTTTAGTTGCAAAATAATGATTAAATTTATTAGCATCATTATGTTTGTATGTTGTATGTTGATGTATCACCCAAAGGAGAACATCAATATACTATTAATTGATGTTTGAATATATTATATGTGTAGCATGTATTTTATGTCTCAAAACACTCATATAAAAATTTTTATTATGCAGTATCTGTTCCCAATTCACTAAATTCTCTTGTAGCGTCTGTTCCAATTTTTAATGGGCTTAATTTCTCTGACTGGAATGAGCAAGTCCAATTTCACCTCGGTGTTTTGGATCAAGACCTTGCTATATTGGAAGAGAAGCCTGCTACTATTACTGATTCTAGTAGTAATGAAGAAAAAGCCTATTATAAAGCTTGGGAAAAGTCTAACAGACTCTGCCTTATGTTCATGAGAATGACTGTTGCTGACAGTATTAAGACAGCTCTACCCAAAACTGAAAGTGCTAAAGAATTTATGGGTTTTGTGGGAGAGCGCTCTCAAACAGCTGATAAGTCTCTTGCTGGGACACTAATGAGTACACTGACCACCATGAAGTTTGATGGTTCACGTACTATGCATGAGCATGTCATTGAGATGACAAATATTGCAGCAAGACTTAAGTCCTTGGGAATGGCTGTGAATGAGAATTTCCTTGTACAATTTATTCTTAACTCATTACCGACTGAGTATGGGCCGTTTCAAATGAGCTATAATACCATGAAAGACAAATGGAATGTGCATGAATTGCATAGTATGTTGGTTCAGGAGGAAACGAGACTTAAGAATCAAGGAAGTCACTCAATTCATTATGTAAGCCACCAAGGGAATCAAGGAGTTGGAAAGAAGTTTGTTAAGAAACATGATAAGGGCAAAAAGCCATTAAAGATTAATGAGGCATCTGTACCAATCCAGAAGAAAGCATCAAAGGGTAATAATTGCCATTTCTGTGGGAAATCTGGACACTTCTAGAAGGATTGCCCAAAACGTAAGGCTTGGTTCGAAAAGAAAGGTAAGCTTAATGCTTATGTATGTTTTGAGTCAAATTTAACTGAAGTTCCCCATAATACATGGTGGATCGATTCTGGATGTACGACTCATGTTTCTAATACGATGCAGGGATTCACTACAATCCAAACCATAAGCCCAAATGAGAAGTTCGTCTTCATGGGGAATAGAGTGAAAGTTTCAGTGGAAGCAGTTGGGACTTATCGTTTAATCCTTAACACTGGACATCATTTAGATTTATTGGAAACTCTTTATGTACCTAGTTTATCTAGAAATTTAGTTTCATTATCTAAACTTGATGCTATTGGATACTCTTTTACTTTTGGTAATGGATGTTTCAGTTTTTTTAAGCGTAATCATCTCATTGGTACTGATATTCTTTGTGATGGTTT